CCTTTAAGGTAGCAGGTTACAGATCTCTGCAGGGACATTATAAATAAAATGTGCACTTCCTTCTTCGTCGTTCAGCGTTCTCTTTCCACGTGAACTGTCCCCCGAGTTGCCCTGAAGCAAGTCACTTGATCTATAGTTGTTCAACTAAAGCTGATGAGCGATGTGAGATTTTAATGTCTAAGTAAAAGAATAAGAAATGATTTTGGATTTTTTTTTGTTGTTGTTGAAAACCTGCATGTGTATCGGGTCTGACAAAGTTTGATTCATTAAAGGTTAAAAAGCCGGCGCTTCCCCTCACCGCCAGTTTATTAACATTTTTGGCTCCTTTCCAGATCACAAATTGCTCTTCTCTCGCAGACATGCTGATTGATTTTTCACACCATCAAACTATTGTCTGGCTATCTCCAGCTCTCAGCCCCTGGTGTATTGTTTCTCACTGATCATTTCTGACCATTTCTCATCTTTGGGTGTGAGTGCTGCCTGAGGATGAAAGGCCACCACCACCTCCACCCAACTCCTATTACAGAGTGATGAGATGAGGGTGAGGCTGGAGATGGAGCGAGTGAAGCACACCTGGGTCGCAGTGGGCTCAGACAAGTGGAATTATAAAATAATCTAATTTTGTTTCATAGCTTGCCCTGGGATTGAGAAAGTGTGCTTCATGCTCACATAAAAGTTGTTACTTGTTCAGGTTAGCATGAACCCTGGACTCAGCTTTTTAAGCTTTGCTGTTTCACTCAGAAGGACAGAAATATGGATTCAAATCAGTCATGACATTGTCCCACAACATCTGGACATATACGCCAGAAATGTTCACCACATCATCTTTATAAAGTGCAGATTTGCAAGTGCTTGCAACTTGTTTCTGCTGCCCAGATGAGGCCATAAATATCAGTTATTGCAGGTCTGACTTAGGATGGACTCAAACACTCATCAAAGCGGTGACTGAAGTAAATGCATCTTATAAATATGAGTGGATGTGTGATTCTCAACGTTTCTCCCAAGTGAATCTACATAATATGTCATCTGACTGTCCTTTAAACTGTATTTCTTTTCCCTTTTAAAAAAATCTGAAATATTCCATCATCTGACTTTCACAGACACATCAAATCTTTTATAAAGAATATACTTTTAGATGGCAGACTAGAATGGTTTAATAGTAAACAACAACACTGTCAGAAAGAGGAAGTAAACCACAGTTTCCCATGTGAAAAGCTAATGTTTTGTTAACTTGTTCAGCCCATCATTGTTTCTTTGCAGATTCAGTGCTTTATAATGTCACCTGAATTCTTCCTGAGATAATCTCCCTTTCTTTTCTTTGTAACGCTAATAATAGACCTGGAGCTCTACCTAGTATCTCTTTGCATATGCAGACAGTAAGGTGAGAAACATGAGCTACAAGCAAATAAGGAGAAATAACCTCACAGGAACGAGCAGAGAACAAAAACAAACAGTCTATAGTATTAAGATTCACGCTGTCAAAGAGCAGTCCTTGGACGTGCATGACCCCACCTCCTGTAATGTGTGCTCTTTACTCTGCTTTTTAGGTAATTTCTGCATAAAAGTAAATTTAGCTGCTTTAAAATTTCCACAATCCTTATGTTTTTCCCTGTTTTTAGGGTTTAAAAATGTCTTGGTGTAGTTTAAAGTGATTATATTGGACTAAAAAAAGAGCCTTTCTTGGTGTAAAACGTCAGACACTGACAACACCAGCAGATAACAGATTAACCAATTGTGTTCTTATGATGTCATCAGGTTGTTCAGGGACAAGAGATGTATCTGTGTGATGAGCTGGGAAATGCTCTCTCTGCCTGTGGTAAATGTGTTCTTTGGCAGTTTTCTTGTCTATGATGTACCTGACATGCTATCAGAGAAGCCAGTCTTTCCATCTCTTAAAGGAAGTGCCTGATATAAAACCTGACGAGTGGCATTCTTCTTGGAAGCTGTGATATTTTTCAGAGGCTCATTTCCTCATTCCTGGTTGTGTTGAGCGCCCTCAGAACCTGCATGGTGGCCTGCAGATCTCTGCAGGAAGTGAACGGCTGCAGAAACGAAAGCAGGATGGGAGGACGCAGCTTCTGACAGCTCAGTCTGTACCCACTCCTAGCTATTTCTGGATAGCAATTATCAGTGGAATAAATGCATACACTGATGGCATTGCATAATTTGCTCAGTGTTGAGTAAGGTTACTGTGAAGAAATTGCATTAGATGAAATTATCCGGCAGTAATAGAAGATAAATACGTGCAGGTCGACTGTCAGGCATTTGGAGATAGCAGCGTGGCATTCAGCCTCAGCAGATCGGCACAGAAACTGGAGCTTGTGCTGATTTTATTTATGTTTTTTTTAAATGGCCTGGTTTGGATTCATGCATTCAAGGTGATAACTAAAACCATTTTGTAGGCCACCAGATGCAAAAGGTGAGGGCAGACCAGGTCAGCCAGTGCACCGGCACACACTGTAGTGGAATGACAGGGAGGCAAGCAAAGCTTCAGCGGCCAATCTGTGGAGGCGGGGGTGGGGATAGAGGGGAAATAATCCCCATGCCATCTGCTGCTTTTCCTATCCTGCGTGGT